GACATTGTCATCTGTGTGTTGTTTGACTTTTAATGCATTATGATTGACAGTTATAAATTATGGTATCATTAAATAACCATATGCTACTAGCAGAGGTTAAAGTGGGAAAAAATCCCAGAGGGGACTAATGTCTCCATAAAGTTGTAAGTGTTCCATATATAATTTTATGTATAATGTCTAATGTATAAAATCCTAATTTGTTAAAGGCGACGCTTTTTAACAGCTGTCAGAGGTAAGGGGACTGAGTCCTAAAGCTCCCCCCCACCATTTTAACCCCTGGMTWCTAGAAAGTTTCAAAATCGAGCAGATATCACATTATTATTGGCTGTTGTAAATTACGGTATCATTCAATAACTATGGTTTTACTAGGAAGATTTTAGAATTGGATAAAGATAAACTTTTGGACGAACACATAACAGAATAACACCTTTCCAATAAGCGTAGTTTGTAGTAAGGTGTGGTAGAGTTTAAAATCTATAATTAGACACAAATATTGTTTTGTATTTATTGCTAATTAAATGTATGATAAAATTATTAAAACTGATTCATTTGAGTATAAAAATGTGTACCTATTATATAGATTAAGATGTATACTTGTTTATGATTTTATAAACATGAAACTGTTATTTTTTATACAATATTAACAATTATAAATTATCATTAATTAATTATCTAGTATTCTATTTGTGCTGCTATCTATTGATAATTTTTGAAACTTTATGTTTGATAGAGAATAAGCTTTCTAAATTAAAATATAATATCTTTAATTTTACCCAGTTAGATTTTTTATAATTAATCCTCAAGTACATGTACATCTTAATTAACTTAAAAATGCTTAAAAAAACAATGATAGGAACATCACTATATCAAAAAAATAAAATACCGTTTTAAGCATAATTCAGTTTAGTAGTATTTTGAATTCTAAATAAAATAATATATTTTAAAAATTAATTAAATGGATTAATAAATAAATATAAATCAAAATTTAAAAAATACAAAAAGGTTTCTTATTCTGAATTTTTTAAACATTCCATCTCTATTTTCAAATTATTAAGAGTTTCTACAATCTAATAATACATAGTTAAGGATAACTATTAACAATCACAATCATAAAAAAGTCAATGAGAGTATATTATAATCACGAGTATTCATACAAAACACTTGATTGATTTCGCATTCATGTTCATATTATTTTGTAATCGATACATTAACAACACTTCAACAATATCAAACTACAGAACACGAAATTGTCACTATTTTGAAGTAA